CGCGGACCAGCTGACCGGCGGTCCAAAAGGGGCCGCCGGAAGCCCGGAAATGGCTGCCGGCAGCCGTTTTCGTGCCCTGCCCTCGCTTAGCGAAGGCGCGAAAATGGCTGCCGGCACTTGGAATCCTCGCTGAACGGGTAAGTAACAAAGGTATTGGAACGCATTAAACGAAGTTTAATGCGTTTCAATACATGGCCCCTACCCGTTTAGCGACGATTTCGCATAGCGAGGGTTAATCCGGAACAGATTAACCTCGCTATGCGGGGCACCACTGTATATTGATTTACATATACTTTGATGCTTTTATTTGATTGTATTTTATAATGTTTCGTTCTTCTTTGTAAGCCGCCCCGAGTAGACTCTGTCTAGAGGGGAGGGGTATAAATTGAATAATTAATAAATAAATAGAAAGTTTGAAATTGGAACAAACCTATTTTAGCTCCTGTAATTTCATTGAGGATACCCACTGTGGTGTAGTGCACTGGTTCTTAACCTTGGGTTACTCAGGAGTTTTGGACTGTAACTCCCAGAAGCCTTCACCACCAACTGTGCTGGCTGGGGTTTCTGGGAGTTGCAGTTCAAAAACATCCGAGTAACAAAGGTTAACAACCACTGGTGTAGTGGACAGAGTAACAGACCAGGATTCAGGAGAACTGTTTTTTGTTGAGGTGTTTGCATTAGATCTGATCGTTTCTTAGCTTAGGAGCTGTTTTCAGGTTCATTTAACAAAAAATGGTTTTTGCCTACTAAGGATTCAGGCAAATCCTTTGTTTTTTTGGAACCAAATTAAATTCTTCATATGTAATGGAGGTCCCAAAGTGTAGTGATGGAGCACTGTTTTACTAGGGGAAGAGGGGTGGTAAGCGGTGTATCTTAATTGGTTAAATCCTTTGAAATGCAGCAATTAACTCAGCTAACTTTAACTTCACCTTTAAAAATGCTGGGTAGCAAAGAGAACAATTCCGCAGGGCTGACTCTGGGGCCTGCGTAGTATAGCCTGGGTAGCAGAGTGACAGTGTGGTTGGCATCCTTGCAGAAAAGCAGAAAGCTAACTCGTACCATATGGTTGTGTCTTAATTGCTTAAATCCTTTGAAATGCAGCAATTAACTCAGCTAACTTTAACTTCACCTTTAAAAATGCTGGGTAGCAAAGAGAACAATTCCGCAGGGCTGACTCTGGGGCCTGCGTAGTATAGCCTGGGTAGCAGAGTGACAGTGTGGTTGGCATCCTTGCAGAAAAGCAGAAAGCTAACTCGTACCATATGGTTCAGACCCTTTTAATATTGGCAAGTACTGATCTTTGTTAAAAAGAGGTTGTCCTCTAATTCTGCAAATGGAAGTTGTGAGAAAGAAGTCGTCATTACCTGCAGGCTCCTTGTCTGAACTTAATATGGACATTATTCTGCCCTGGACGCCATGTGAGGCACTAATTTCCTGCTGTGATTCTTTTGTCAGGTATCTCGTCTTCTTGCAGATCAAAAGAGATCTGTACCATGGCCGCTTGCTCTGCAAGACATCCGATGCTGCCCTGTTAGCTGCCTATATCCTTCAAGGTAATATCTCTTGACAGGATTAATTTGCTTTTCATTATCAATACTGATTACATAAGTTACAACAGGTCATTGAATCTCAAATGGAAATGACATCATACTGGTCACCATCTAAGCCATATGGGCATATCCCTTCTGTCACTCCTCTGCAGTAAGGACCAAATAAATGTTCCTTTAGTTATCAGCATTAACTGCCTGCGGTCCTCCACCTTTCTATAATTTTTATAGTGCATAACAACAACAATGTGCTGTCAGGCCAGTTCGACTCATGGCAACACTTTTCAGGGTTTTTAAGGTAGGGACTACTCATTCCCGTCTTCTGGGAGCAATCCTGGGACTGTGAAGCTTGCCCAAGATCACCCAGGCTGGCTCTTCTGGGAGGCACAGTGGAGAATGAAACTCTCAACCTCTAGTTCTGCAGCCACATACAGTACAGTGGTGCCCCGCTTGACGACGATAATCCATTCCGTTAAAATCGCTGTTAAGCGATATTGGCGTCAAGCAAAAGAAAAAACCTATTGAAATGCATTGAAAACCGGTTCAATGCGTTCCAATGGGCGAAATACCTCATCATCCAGCGAAGATCCTCTATAGGGGAAGCCATTTTCGGTCGCTGTCTTAAAGAAATAGGTCTGGAAAACAGCAGGTGGCCATTTTGAAACCCGACAATCAGCTGTTTTTGAAGCGGGTGGCCAGCTGTTTTTGATTGTCGTAATGTGAAGAATCTGTTCCCCAAGGTAGGGAACCAATCGTCGTAAAATGGATTTTCCCCATTCGATCATCGTTTTGCGATCGCAATAGCAATCACAAAAACCTCATCGTGAAGTGAGTTCGTCGTGGAGCAGGGTAATCGTCAAGCGGGGCACCACTGTACTTAATTCACTGAGCTATCCCGTCAGTATACAATCAGAATGGGGATGTTTTAAGTTGACTGCCGGGCTTGTGTTACATCAGGTCTTTCCTTGCCCTAGCATCCTGGAGAGACTTTGCCAACCACAACCCCTGACGAGACAGAGCAAAGATCAGACTTGCTTAGGCACACAAGCTGCCAGAGAGTGACTGCTGTTTTCTCCCTCCCTCCCTTCCCCCCACCCCACTTTCTCTCTTCTGTCAGCGGAGATCGGTGACTATGACCCTGGAAAGCATCCTGAGGGGTACAGCTCCAAGTTCCAATTCTTCCCTAAACATTCAGAAAAACTGGAAAGAAAAATTGCAGAGATCCACAGGATTGAGCTCAGGTAATATCTGGCTTGGTATCGAGCGTGTACAAGGGCTTCTGTTTTTTGCTGCACAATGAAAATCCATACGTGTGCCCCTTCCCAGCACACCAGGAAATGTCCTCAATCAAAATCTATGGCTAAATGCCTCTATAGTCAGATTGGGGGCCCAGGGCCTATTGCTGCTGCTGCTGCTGGCTGCTTCCTTGCGCGAAAATGAGATGTTTTTGACCTTGGAATTGTTCAGACACAGAGAGGAGAGACTCAGAGCATTTTTATCAATAACAGTGCAATGTCCTTTGGATTAATAAAACCCTCTTCATCCCCTGGGTGAGACAAAAATATATTTACATATACCAGTGGGACTAAATTCACACAGACTTCTACATACATTGTGAATATCTTTGTTGCCTGCTACCTATCTGTCTAAAGACACACAGACAAATAATCATCTCAGAGATGATGTTGCAATATTAAACAGGAACTGATGAGGTTGTAAATACTCCTTCCTTCAAAGAGTTATCAGATCTGGTACCCATGATAGCAGTAAGGGGCACAGGTGGGCCAAAGGGAATTATGCTTCAGAATCATGGAGATCCCAAAGAATTTCAGACACTCCAACAGCCTGCATTACTAATAGCCAATCCAAGTGGAATGTGATGTGTTTCATTCCCCAGGCTCCCTTCCAATGTACTTTTGTGCACCTGAAAAATGAAAGGATGGGCAGTCCTGAATTCCACAAGGAGGCATAATGGAACGGCAGCAACCCTGTTGAGAAGGCATGCTACAGTCTTCCCTTTTCACCACTATGTTCAATTCCTGAACACAGGCTATAATTTTAACAGCTGTACAACAATCAGGGGGACGTTGTGGCACTGCGGGCTAAACCGCAGAAGCCTATGCTGCAGAATCAGAAGACCAGCAGTCATAAGATCGAATCCACGCGACAGAGTGAGCACCTGTCGCTTGTCCCAGCTCCTCGCCAGCCTAGCAATTCGAAAGCATGCAAATGCAAGTAGATAAATAGGGACCACCTCGGTGGGAAGGTAACAGCGTGCAGGGGGACGTTGTGGCGCTGCGGGCTAAACCGCAGAAGCCTATGCTGCAGAATCAGAAGACCAGCGGTCATAAGATCGAATCCACGCGACAGAGTGAGCACCTGTCGCTTGTCCCAGCTCCTCGCCAGCCTAGCAATTCGAAAGCCTGCAAATGCAAGTAGATAAATAGGGACCACCTCGGTGGGAAGGTAACAGCGTTCCGTGTTTAAGTCGCACTGGCCATGTGACCACGGAAGATTGTCTTCAGACAAACGCTGGCTCTATGGCTTGGAAACGGGGATGAGCACCGCCCCCTAGAGTTGAACACGACTGGACAAAAATTGTCAAGGGGAACCTTTACCTTTACCTTACAACAAGCAGGAATGTGATAGGCAATGGATCTTTCTTTCGGTTTTGTAATCTCTCAGTCTATATTTTGTGTTCCTATGAATTGGTGCTCTGAACTATTAGTGACCTACTGGGGATGTATTAATTCAAGCCTGTTCCTCTTTTTTTCTTCCCCAGTGGTCAGACGCCAGCTACTTCAGAACTAAACTTTTTAAAGAAAGCCCAGACCTTGGAGACGTATGGCGTTGACCCACATCCATGCAAGGTACACAACCATAGCATCATCTTGATGTTGTTTGTTATTTCAGCTCTTCAGGTCTTATGTAGATTGCTTCTAAATTTGTGGTATATCATTACGTTCAGCCATGATCATTCCATGTGGATTGGGATATTTTATAATTAAATACACAGTGGAGGCTAGTAGCAGAGGATAAGATAATAACAGAACTGTAGAGAGATGGCAGGAGGTATCTGGTGAGGCACAATGAGTAGAGATGGGATATTCGTACTTGCCTCCCGGGGGAGACGGATATGAATATCGCCACCACAGATGACCAGTCCCTTTGGATCCACCCCCCAAAACTAGCCAGTCCACTTACTACTCATGGCACAGTGTGCACGGACATCAGCATCCCGCCTCCTTGCCAGAATGGTCAGCAGTGCAGGGAGGCGGGGAACTGCTGGCTGGGCTCCTTCCACAATCAATGCAGAGCAAATGATGACAGCATGCTGGCGTACAAGTTGCTTTGTTAAGCCATGTTGATTTACTTCGGTAGAAGCAATATTGCAATTGTATCCTTTTCAGAATTTTATACGGTAACATTTAATCAAAGTGATCAAAGGAGGATTCTACAGTAAAAAGGCATTTGACTCTTCAGTTCTCTATCTGAAAGAACTGTGTGAGCTCTTTTAGATGATTTGTTTAATGTTTAACCAACATCTAGAGAGGATTTAAATTTATATTAACACAGATTTGTACATAAAATTATTTTTCATCTCTTGTTTTCAAGTACCTTTGTGTAATCTCACTAAAATCATTGTTGACTGTCAGCAGGTTATTTCTATTTAGGAATTACAAATTATAGCATGAATCATTAGGGACTATCTACATATTTGTATACACAAGAAACATCTCAGTCACATGGGAATTGTCGATTGTAGGCTGTTTCTTTTTTTAACTCCAATTTTTTCCCTTGGACTAAAGCCACTGAACGACATAGATATAGATCCAGGCAAATAAAAGAAACAAATTGGACCCAGTAAAGTCTAATAACTAGATAATTTGCCTCACATAGAAACAAATTAGGGCCTTTCAGCCCTTTGTCCTTCCTTCCAGCAGGATTTGAAACATCATTATCATTGTGGTGGTTTTGACCATCCCTCTTGAGCTTTGTCTTCAATCCACGGCATTCAAGCTTGCTTGAGCAGATCTCAATGTTTGTGTTTGTGTGTGTTTGTACATGTGTTTGTATTGTATTGTGTGTCTTACTTCGTTGGTCTCAGTCCTTTTCTTATAAGAAAAAGTCAGTTTTGAGCATGCCTTGGCCCTAAGCCATTTAGGGCTTTGTCAGTCAAAACCAGCATTTTGAAACAGAGGTCAGAAGCAAACTGGAAGCAGTGGTCAAGACTGATAATGGTGCCAGCTTGTGACTGGAATTGGGGGCTGCCCCTAAAATGTTGGAATAAGGCATCCCCACCCCATCCACAGGCCATCCCAGAACAACTAAATACCTAATGTATACCAGACAATAATCTGGCCACCACATTTCAAACACTACCTGTAGCTTTTCAAGAGCAGATGCAAGTATAATGCATTACAGTAGTTTAATTAAGACATAGATTGCTGTGGCCAAAGTAGCCTTCTCTAAGATAAGTATGTGGTTGGCGTTCCAGCTGAAGCTTGGCAATGGTGCTCCTGATCTACTGCTACCTCTTGCCTTTCTAGGCAAAGTGACCACTGATGGTAGATAAAACAGCAGTAAAACAAAATTTAGTATAATCAGACCATCAACTGGTTTCTCTGTGTCACCATTTCTAATGTCAGATTTGAATGCATTCATTGTGTGCAGGGATAGTCATATTTGCCCTATGTAGAAAACACAGGAGTGCTGCTGGCAGAAGAAGGCATACATCACTTTAGAGGATTAATGTCCTGTGTAAGGCAAACAGGATGATCCTTGCACAGAAAAATGAATGGCTATAAACTTGACACCAGGAATGGCAACATAGAGAAACTAGTTTTGAGTAGTTCATATTCCCAGGGCACTCTATAATGGATCTCAAAGTGGATATTGTAGAAAAAAGGAATGACAAAGGGAGACTCAAGAGGAGACCATAGAATTTGGCTACCTAAACAAGTCCCAGCACAGCAATAAGGACCTGAAAAGATATCAAGACTTCCTTGCGCACTGCATATATTAATGACTCATCTTTCTTGTAATATCTTATGGATCAAATATAGTTATCTCCATTGACAGGCTCTGATCTGTGTGTCATTAACAATTCTTAGCATTCCTGTGACAGCCAGGTCTGCCTAATTTATCACCCCAGCTTGGATGTGCTATTAACAGCCTGATGGTCCTCCTCCTATCTTATGAACGACTGCCAATTTGTCTATTATCTGTATCCTCTACTTGGATGTGAATCTCACCACCATGGAACAAATACAGGGGATATGTATTTGTATTCTTATGTCTGAAGAAGAAGATTTTGATAAGAGGAAACCCTGATTAACCACCAAAAGCTTATAGGAAGCGAAACACATTTGGGTGCAGAGTTAATTGTGTGGACTCTGATGTAAGGTAGCAGGCTTGTAAGAAATTACCGGAAGGGATTGTCCTGTTATTAGCCTCGTGGGAGGTACGTATAAATCTATTTAGGGATTCATGCAAACCCAGCTCCCTTCTGTGTCAGGAAAGTATTGGGGCTTAATTTCACAAAAAGAAAGATGCGTTTAGCTGTTCAACTTGCAGTTCCATTCTAGAGGTCTTCTATAGCAGCTTTCTGATGGTTGGTAAGAAATTGAAGGCTAGGAAGGAGAAGGATGGTACCACAAGGTGGGAAAAAGAAACCCTGCTAAAGCTGCCCAGAAAAAATATCACTTTTATTACCTGTATAAAGTGCCGTAGCCCAAAAGGTGTATGTAGAAGGTGGGATCAGTGGGAAAAAGAAACCCTGCTAAAGATGCCTAGAAGAAATATCACTTTTGGTACCTGTATAAAGTGCTGTAACCAAAAGGTGTATGTAGAAGGTGGGATCAGGCAGCAGATGGCAGCAAAACAACAACAACAACAGCAAAAACCTTCTTCTGCTTGAGGTCCCAGGCAGTGACTGCCAATCAAGAATAGTTACCCATGACCTGGACTAAGGATGCTCTCTTGTGACATATGAATGGACCAGTTCATGGCTCTGAAGTGAAGACTAATATCTGAATAACAGAGGTCTGCAGACATCTTTACATAAAGGTTGTTGGGGAGGAGAGATACCACAGTTTTCCTGGAGTGACGAACACTTCTTTTCCTAGAAGAGTAGGAAAAAATGAATAGATGTTTGTAGGTGTGCATGCATCTGTTACCTCTAATCCAGATGAGTGGTGACAAAGGATGTTTGCACACCTAAGGTGAAATATAGAGAGTTGTTTGGGATTGCATTGTAGACTTTGTCTCATGTAATGAGTACACTTGCTGTGTTTCAGGATGTGTCTGGAAATGCTGCCTTTCTAGCATTCACTCCTTTCGGGTTTGTTGTCCTTCAGGGAAATAAACGCGTTCATTTCATCAAATGGTGAGTTCTATGCTGAAAACCCTGTTTGTACAGTTGCAGTTGTACAGGATTTCCAAAACATGGTTACCACCATTGTATTGTACCTCAAACAGTATACAGTCACCAACTCAAGCCTGATCTAATTTCCATTACAGTTGCATTTCTGCTTCTTCAGCCCATTTCTAGTTACAGACTATGGGCTTTCACAGAAAAGTCATGACTTTCAGCCAGTATTTTTGTTCCGTTGCAGTGGAGATTGGGGAGGCTGCAATCCTGCTTCCATTGAAATTCATGTTACTGGAATCTGTAACAAATAATTTGAGAACTATAGTTATATCAGAAAATCTCTTGCTGTTGATCTACCTATAGTTTAAGAATTGTCCAGATACTTCTCCTGAGCGCTGCTCATATGTACCTTGCCCAGTATGAGCAGAACAGCAGTAAGTAGTAAGTGAGTAAAATAAATAGGATGCAAAGTGAAGCAGCAGCAAATGAAAATATCTGGATTAATTTGCAGTTTGTGTGAAAACCTGATGCATTTTTAAAGATGATTGATTTTGTGAAATGCAAAAAGGGGAAACAAAATTGTACACCTGTAAGTGGAAGTGGAAAGGAGGCCAAGCGACAAAAGGAGAATATAAACAAGTAGCAAGGAATTGCAGGGATGGCATTAGGAAAAAAGCTGAGAATGACCTGAGGTTAGCCAGAAACACTAAAAGCAACAAAAAAAAAGCATTCTTCAGGTATATATAGAGGAAAAGCAAAAGCAAAAGAAATAATGTCTCAGCTACTCAATGGAGGTGGAAAAATGATAACTGAACACAAAGAAAAAGCAGAACTGCTGAATTCATATTTTAGCTCAGTATTTTCCCAAAGGACAGACTATGACACAAATGTGAAGTGGAGGGACAGGACAGCAGCTGGAGATTGATAAACAAAGAGTTGAGGAGTACCTTACTTCCTTGAACGAGTTCAAATCCCCAGGGCAGAAGAACTGCATCCAAGAGTATTGGCTACAGAATCATACTCAGAGGGTGATGATGAATGGCTCATTTTCAAACTGGGTGGAAGTAACAAGTGGGGTACCCCAGGGCCTAGCCCTGGGCCCTGTGCTCTTCAACATTTTCACTAATGACCTGGATGAGGGAGTGCAGGAAATGCTAATCAAATTTGCAGATGACACAAAATTGGGTGACTAATACCCTGGAAGACGGAAACAAAATTCAAAATGATTTAGATAGGCTTGAGCACTAGGCTAAAAACAACAGATTAAAATTTAACAGGGATAAGTGCAAAGTACTGCACTGAGGGAAAAAACCAAACAAACACAAAGTTGCAAGGTGGGAGATACCTGGCTCAGCAGTATTATGAAGGATATTGGAGTCATCATAGATCTCAAGGTAAATATGAGCTAACAGTGTGATGTGACCTTTTAGAAGGCAAATACTATTTTAGAATGCATTAACAGAAGTATAGTCTCCAAATCCCATACGGTACTTGTTCCCCTCTATTTGGCACTGGGTTAGGCCACACCTTGAGTTCTGTGGCCAATTCTGGACAGTGCACTTCAAGAAGGATGCCAACAAATTGGAACAAGATCAGAGGAGGGCAACAAGGATGATCAGGGTGCAGAAAACCAAGCCTTATGAGGAAAGACTGAAAGAACTGGGCATGTTTAGCCTTGAGAAAAGAAGACTGAGGGATTATATGATAACACTTTTCAAATACTCAAAAAGCTGTCATACAGAGGAAGGGGAAGAACTATTCTCAATCATTCCAGAGTGCAGGTTACAGGAAGTCAGATTTCAGTTGAATATCAGGAAATACTTCATAACGGCTATATCCATACAGCAAGGGAATCAATTATCTCGAGAGGTGTTGAGTGCTCTAACACTGTTGAGTGCTCTAACATTCAAGAGAAATTTAGACAACCACCTGGCAGATATTCTTTGATTTGTATTCCTGCATTGAGCAGGGGCTAAAGCAGATTAGAATCATACAGTTGTCATAGGGTTGGAAGGGACCGTGGAGGTCTTCTAGTCCAACCCTCTGCCCAAAGCAGGAGACCTCATACCATCCCGGGCAGACGGCTGTCCAGTCTTTTCTTGAAAACCTCCAGCGATGGGGCACCCACAACACCAGGAGGCAAGCTGTTCTACTGTTCAATGGTTCTCACCATCAGGAAATTGCTCCTCCAGGAGGCAAGCTGTTCCACTGTCTAATCATGGTTCTCACCGTCAGGAAATTCCTCCTTATTTCCAGGTGGGTCTCCCTCTGACAAGTTTCCACCCATTGGTTCTTGTCCTACCATCAGGCTCAATGGAGAATAAATTTTGATTAGGAGCAGCAAATAAATGCATGATAACAGCCAGAACTAGTTATTTCCTGGGATAATTCTAAAGGGGACAATGTAGGTATGATAGGGCAGCTGGGGCCACCTGTGCCCTTGAATGGAGGAGAAAATTCATTTTCCCTGAGGAGTAAAAGGGAGGGGTACATTCACTTGCAGAGAGTAGATGACGTGTGTACAGCTGACTCCAATGAAAAGCCTTTTCAGTTCTTTTATAGATATACAATCTTCATGATAGGTGATGTACTCACAGACTGATAGATCTGGAGGAGGTTTTAACTTATTTATTCCTTGTTATTGATATGTTTATTTTATTTTATATACCACCTTTGTATAAATATAATCAAGGTAGTATATGATAAACAAAATCATACATAAAAATCTTAAAGTATTCAGATAAATAAATAAATAAATAAATAAA